ATGAAAAAATAATAAAAATAAAATCTTTAAAAAAAAAATAAAAGAAAAGAAAAAAAAAAAAGAAAAAAAAATAAATCTTAAAAAAAAAAAAAGAAAAAAGAAATTGGGAGGCATACTACATCAATCTGAGAAGGGAAGTAAGTGGGAAAAGATGCAAAATCAAACAAGGCATTGGAAAAGCAATGGGAGATGGCCCAAGTACTTGGGCTCCTGTCACGCACAGGACAGGCTGGGCCAGAGTTTCTAGCTCCTGGTTTTGGCCCAGGCTGGGTTACTGTGGCTAGGCAGGGAGTGAACCAGTGACTGGAAGGGCTCTCTGTAACTCTCTCAGATAAATAAGCACACTTTTTTTTTTTTAAAGCAAGGATTTCAAAATGCTTTTGCACAAAAATCTTGATTTCATTTTGTGAACTTCTTGAAGTACCCACATAGGTTATTTAAAAGAAAAAAATAATGTATCAGATTGATCAAAAGCAAAGGAGTGGAAAGAGAAATACTGGAACTAATTGATACTGAAGCCAAATACAAAAATAAAGATTAGGACGCCTGAAGTATGATCAGTTCTCCACATGGCACTAAATGGCTCTGAACTCACCCAGTATCCCTAGGTAAGTGAGCACAGAAAAAACTTGGCCTCAGCACACTCTCGGTGCTTGATTTTGTATGGCTGACTTCCTCAGGTTTTTGCTTTAAATACCACCTGCCTCTTCTTAATCTAATATGTAAACAGACTTTATCTAAATAGTCTTTTGCTATCCCCTATTACATATCCTATTAATTTCCTTCATAGCATATTTAATTACATGTAATTGAAATGCTTGTTTATTACCTATTTTGTTCAATAAATCACTGACTCTATGAGGATATGCATGCGTCTGTTTCCAAGACTGTTAATGCCACGTCTCAAAGCATCTTATTTAAGGTTTTACTGTAATTCCTTCTTAGTACTACAAAGAGAGCTGAAACCCCAAGATTCTGAGACAGGATATATAGGCTGCAAGAGAGGGCAGGAGTCTGTGTAGAGAGGGAAGAGTGATCTGTGTCAGATAGGTAAAAGAATTTGAATGTGGGCCCCCATGGTGACACAGCAAGCTAATCATCCTCTTGTAGCAACAGCACCCTGTCAACACTGCTTTGTGTCCCAGCTGCTCCACTTCCAAACCTGCTCCCTGGGAAGGAAGTGGAAGATGGCTCGCGTGCTTGGGCCCCTGCACATACGTGGGTGACAGGATTAAGTCCCTGACTTCAGACTGGCTTAGCCACAGCCATTTGGTGAGTGAACTAGCAGTAGACTTCTCTGGCTCTCCTCTCTTACACAATCTGCCTTCTAAATAAAAACAAAATACATCTTTTAAAAAAAATACATGATGATGTGATACAATGGGAAGGGAAGATCTACAAAGCCAGCTACACTTGGGCTGGATTTCTATTTGTTGACTTTGGGGTTCAATTTCCATATCTATAAAACAGGAACATTGCCATCTCATACAACTGTTTGAAAACTAAATGGGATTATGGGCTTAATAACTGGAGATTCCTCCACTTATCCTGACCTCTAGAATCAACTGGTGTTCAATGGAAAGTTATTCTTTAGTATCTGCAGGGCACTGGTTCCAGGAATCCTAATAGATAATATCTATGGATGTGCAAGACCTTATATAAAATAATGCAGTTGCATATAACCTATACACATTCTCCTATTTATTTCAAATCACCTCTAGTTTACTTACAATGCTTATAAAAGTTTGTGCCTCATCAGTTTCAGGAGCAACCACAGTAGTCCTGACAATCTAACAAATGAAAGAGTTTCAAGGCAAACACTGCTGCAACAAGGAGTGTTGGAGAAAGACAGAATCTGTGAAACAGGAGGTTACAGCAGGGCATGCTGAAACACCACTTCATCCACGTATAATTAGCATGGTGCTTAGTGTGAGGCAAATTCAAGTATAATGTTTTTGAACTTTTTATAAAAATGTATTTTCAATCCAAGACTGGCTGAATTCGCAGATGAAGTGATGCATATATGTAGTCTATAAAATACACTGTCAGTCATGTGGCTGAGCACATATGTGGCTAGTGTTACATTCAAGTTTACTTAGCCACTTGTGGCTACCATATTGGTAAGCAAAACATAAAGTCATGAAAGTATGTTTCTTTGAGGTTTTATTATGGGAGGAACCAGTGTGACAGTTGAGTGGCTAAACCCTCACTTTCATGCCCACGATCCCATATGAGCGCCAGTCTGTGTCCTGGCTGCTCCACTTCCCATCCAGCTCCCTGCTTGTGGCCTGAAAAAGTAGTGGAGGATGGTCCAAAGCCTTGGGACCCTGCATCTATGTGAGAGATCCAGAACAATCTCCTTGCTACTGGCTTTGAATCAGATCAGCTCCAGCTGTGTGTGGCCATCTGGGCAGAAATAAGATATTTCTCTTTGTATCTCTCTTTCTCTGTAAATCTGCTTTTGCAATAAAAATATATCTTTAAAGAAAAATAAATCCTTATGGGAATTGAGGAACACATAAAGAAAAGCAACAGTAAGATTTTCTATACGTTTATACTAAAATGTGATTTTCCAGAAACACTGTAGGTAACTTCTGTGTTCAAATAGGACAAGAGTACTTCCCTACCAAACTGTTGTGGAAATGGTAAGTTAATGGATACAGTAGGTCCTTAACAAATTCTGCTTCCTTTTTCCTCCCATATTCATCCCTATCTGACCACACTTTATTAGCCAAGTGCCTGGCCTGTTATTAAATATTGACAAATGCAGTTAATGTTAACTGTTTGCCAAACTGTTTACTGTGTTGAATTGTCAACACTTAGTTTTTAAGAATCTAAACTTCAAAAATAAAAATATGTCCCTCATTATGGAAACAGATCTCAGAAAATGAACCCTAAAATAATGATTGTGAAATGGCAGGTTAGGTATTGGTTATGCATAGAAACTAGGTTTTGCAGCTCTCTCAGCTTATTCTTTTAAGTTCCTTACATACGGCATGCTGCATCTAAGTTATTCTGCTACAAACCTGGTTACCTTATTTCAGGATGGAAATAAAAATTAAAAGCAAAACTGAACATATAGCTCATTCATCAGCAGGATTTTCCTTCAAGTCTTTCATAACGTGCTTCCAGTTTTTATTAACACGAACTACCATGTTTTAAGCCCAGTAAGCCATGTAGCTACCTTCAAGCTTCCTTTCAGTTGTTGATCAATAGCTAGCATAAAGTAATACTTGGGATGGTCACTGGGGCCTGGGGCTGGTGGAAGTCATCCACAAGTGCCTCCCTGTGGCTGAGTGGAGCCCCCCCCCCACACGGGCGCCTCAGGAAATCCACCCCCTGGCCCACCTGTGTCTCTCACCTCAGCTCTTAGTTTGTCACACAGCATTTGCCACTGTAGGCTGCCAAGCTTAGTTTATGACTACCTATTTTCAGATAGCTGTAAAGTTTAACGTGCGGGAGAACTCACACTTCTATCTAGCACTTCGCTGTTGTGTAATCTATAGTACATGTCTAAAGCTGAACACCATCTCTTATCCCTGAACGCTGTAATATCCACTGGGACAAAATACTACGAAAATCCTTGATTAAAAATTTCCTTTGCTCTGCATACACTTCAGTAAGCAAAAGTATTACGTAAACTGATATATGCAATAGATGTCTGGTATTCATACAGAAACAGAGGCAAACAAATATCTTTATGCCACCAGAGATACAACTAAGAAATAAAGTTAATAATTTTTAACACTGAAAATCTCCAATTTCTTATGTCTCTTCCAATCAAATGACAAAACAAAGTATTCCCCAAATACCTTCCATGCACTAAGCAATAAACCTTACGGCCTAACAGATGAGAGCAAGGGAGAGGTGGCTTGTCCCTGGCCCACAGCCCCTTTGACTGGAAAGCTGCGATGCACTCTTTCCACTAAGTCACTTTAGACCTCTACTTTTATGACTCTGTTTGTAGTCATTTTTTTCTCCCAAATCTTATTCATCACTGCACAGCCAGGATGTACAGTGTGTTGCTCAATTCTTAAGGAATGGCGATAGGTTCCTTGAATCTGAAGCTTATTAGCATAATCTGAAGCGTAAGCTTCAACTACATTGTGAAAGGGCTTCACCACCAACAGCTCTCTGAAAGCAAATTGCAAAAATCTTTAACTCGCTGAACTGGTACAAGCAGGGTACGGATCTAAAGTTCCTCCAAGTTTTTTCCTTCTTTTTTCTCCTAAGTTCGGCTAACTAAAAACACAGTAGTAGGTCATTATGATCTTATCTGAATTTGAATGTTCACTTTCCCACCAGCAAAAAAGAAAATTGTCACACAGGTAAAACGAAGGGAGAGGAAAAAAGAGGGGGAGGTAAAAAGTAACAAGCAGAGAGAGAGCCAGGCACGCCTGCTGCGTGTATGTGTTCCACCCCGAGGACTCGGGGCGAGTAGCCTGGCCCCCATATTTAAGTAGGATCTGCTTTCTCGTCAGTCCTCATCCCAGACACTGTTAATCTTGGAAAGCATCTCAGACACTGCTTCTCCGAATGCAGTTCCCAGACTTGAAGGCTGGGACCTGAAACTACGTGTCCTTAAACATGGCCCTGTGAGGAGTGGTAGCGAGCCCAAAGAGCGAGCCAGATCCGTGGCAAGGGTTAAAAGTACAAATTACGAGGGTCTAAAACTTGGGAGGCCCTAAGTTTGGACACCGTCCCTCCCTCCCGCCCACACCCATCCCAGGAAACTAAGCATGCTCAAGGAGAGGTGGACGTCCGACGGGCAACAACGACAAGGATTCTGGAACACTCAGCTGAAGCACGGGCTGCATGGAACGAAGCTGGGGGGCCCCGCGACCCGGCTCCTCGGGGGCCCAGGGGCACGCCGAGCCTGCGGGGGCGGCCGGGGGCGTGGGGAGGGCCGGCCCAGGCGCGCGGGTCCCGGCTACGGCAAGGCTGGGGCCTCCCGAATCCGAACGGGCCGTCCTCCCGCTCCCCGTCCAGCTCCTCCTCACCCGGGCCGTAGAACTTGCTGCCTTTGGTCACGTCGAAGACTTTCCCATTGACCGCGAGCAGGATGCGCGGAGTGCGGGACCCGTCGTACTGGCGCAGCTGCTCCAAGCTGAAGTCCCGCTTCTTCATGCGAGGCAGAGAGGCGGCGGGGCTCTCCTCGCCCGTCCCGGCCCCGGCGCCCAGACCCCGGCGCCCCCAGCGCACCCACAGCCGGTAGGCCCCCAGCAGCACCAGCGCCACCAGCGCCACGTTCAGCAGCATCTCCCCGCCCCCCGTCAGGAGCGCCAACGCCGCCGCCGCCCAGCCGCCTCCTTCCGTTGCCGCTCCCGCGCCGCCCGGGCTCTCGCCGCTGCCGTCGCTGCTGCTCTCGCTGCCACTCCCCAGGGTGCCTAGCTTCACGTCCCCATCACCCGCCGCCATCACTGCCCGCGCGCCAGCGCCTTCCTCCTCCTCCCCGCCCCCTGCCCTCCCCCAACCCCAGGCCGGCCCCGCCCATGAGGGGGGCCTCCCAGCCAATCACGGGAGGGCAGGGGGCGGGGTCGGGCAGGCTCCCGATTGGGTGTTGGCGGGGTAACGTTGTCGCGGCTCTCTCCTCGTACCCCTCCCTCCCTGCGCACGCGTGCGACGCCCCGCCCACCTCGTCCCACACTTCCCTGCTTCCGCGGCTCTTTGACACTGACGAGGAGGGCGGATCTGAAGAGGGGCGAGGCTGCGCAGAGCGCGGGCGCGCAGGGGGCGGAGCTAGGCCGCGGTGCGTGCGCGGGTCCCGGAGCGCCACGCGCTCTCTGGTCCTCGGCGGCGTCGGGGGGCGGGGGCGGGGGCGGGTGGAGGTCCCTGCTGTGCGCGTGCGCCCGGTGTCGCGCGGCCCCTCCTAGGCCTGGGTTCGCGTCCGTGCACTCCCGCCTCTTGGCATTCGGGCGCACGTGCGCTGAGGCGGCTGCGGTGGCGGGGGCTCGTGAGAGGGAGGCTAGGTGCTGGGCCGCGGTGTCTGCTGCTCCGCCGGGAGCCGTCGGCCAGGCAGGAGTCGCCCAGAGACTGAGGCGAGGAGCGGGCGGCCCCCGGCGCGTCCAGGATGCACGAAGCCTGCGCTGGGCTTCCCCGATGGGGGCAGTCTGTGTGCCCGCTCGCCTTGGCCCCAAACCCAGTAGCTGCTGTCCCTTTGACAGGATTGCGTTTCGTAGGTTTCATGACTTGAGACTGATCCTAATGTAGGCGGTGGTAGGACGTGATAGGACGGCGTGGTCCTTGTGTTCAGTTTGATGCAGTTTTGTTTCTGGGATGTCTGAGCCTTTCAGATCCTAAGAAATCCCACATGCTCACCTCAGAAACTTCATGTTGGGGACTCCTTTGACCTCTTTCGTGCTGGCTCTGTTGTCTCCATTCTCTATGTCTTCCCACAAGAACCACCTTGGTTCGATGAGTGAGGGTTTTCACTTAATTTTGAGGAACCGGTGGTGTCCAGGAAAGGCAGGGACTAACAGTGGACCTTACAGTAGAGCCAAGGACAGCAACGAGTGGGTCTTTTCACTTTAAGTGAAGAGGAGTACAGCCTGGTTGTCTTTAGTACCAGATTTGGACCATATACGGTGGTGACAGACTTGCAGGTGCTACTGCAGGAGTTCCTAGAGACTTCATTTAGCAACCAAGTATATGAGCAATTGGAAGTGGGGGTTGGGCAATCGGTTTGCATGAAGTTAGGACACCTGGAACTGCTGGTGTTGGTAAGTACTTTCCCCTAGCGTGCCACAAGTTCCAAGTATTTAATTCTGCTTTGTAGCCAAAAAGCAGCCATAAACATGTGGCCTTCTTGCAATAAAATGTTGTTATAGACGATGATTTCAGGTGTCATGAAGATATTATTTTGATTTTTTCAACTACTTAATAATATAGCAAGCTATTTTCTAAAGCCATCAGGAGGTGCAAGAAACAGCACACCGGCTGCCAGTCCTTGAATTAAAAGTATTTTTCCTGAGGCAGAACCAAGAGGACTCAACTGGGAGGCAGCTGAATATGTAATCATCCAATACAAAAGACTTTTGGGAATGCAGGAGGGCGCTATTAACAATTCCACTGGGAAAGCAGGAGAGTCATGCGATTCTCATAGGCAAACCTAGATGAACTGTCACCCTGGGGTTAAGGGTGAAGAAAGGGCTTGGAAACAGTACCAATGATAGAGGCTGATTTATGGGCTAAGATGGCTACAGTCCTGAGTGTCACACAGTGGGACAGCATCAGCTGGGAAGACAGGAACACTGGAGGCTTCAGAGCAAGCCACACCTTTTACTGATCAGAACTGAGTCACCATGTAACCCTGAAATAGTCACCGACAAGGCATGGGTTGCTTCGTCTTTCCCTGGCTCTTGACAGTGTGTACGCAGGACTGTGTTCTCCATTTCTGGGCACTTAGTAGCTGTGGTCCCTTCCCACTAAATGTCAGTAGCACACATCAGGCGCTATGACATCCAAGCACAGCCTTCCTCTCATCCACCACAGAAATACTCCTTGGAGGAGTGTGACTGCTTTAGAATTGCTGCCTTTTTACCAATCACAATTTACTTTGGAGCTGAAATCTGTGTGTTTCTTTTTCCTGACTGGTTTGGAGCGGGGGATTTGCCTAGTATTGGAGTTCTGTTGTCAAGGGAGTAGGGTGGGGGAATGTTCGGTGGGCAACCAATGTTATCTGCTTGGGAATAGCAGTTTTCTTTCATACCCACGATAACATACATGTCTTCAACCTCTCCCCTAACCCCACCTTTGAGTTCTCTCATTGCAGGTCCCTTGAACTGGTGTAGGAGTTCTTGCTTTTCACCTCGAGGTACCAGTCTCCCCTAGGAGGATAGTCCTGCTTTGAAGACTGCAGTTAACTTTCCAACTAGTGACTTGCTCAGTCTCGCTCTACTTCAGTCTCACCCGAAGGGTCTTGACCTGAGATCTGATTCTTTTTATCAGACACCGGTTTCTAGGAGTGCTTAGCAATTTAAAGGGAACCACTCAGAAAGCTCAGGGATGTACAAGGGCCTCCATCAATCCTTACATGTCCTTCCTGCTTTCCCCTTCCTCACTGAACTCAATCCCTTAAACACTCATAGTGATGGATTTTCTCTTAGGATAACTGGTCCCTTGTCTCCTCCATGCTAGGTTCATGATCCACTCCAGGAGTTTACTCCTCATTGCTGTTTCCTCACTGACAATATCCTTTTCTTTCATTCCCAGGCTTCAGAATCCTGTTACTTCTTTCTCTGCTTGGGCTTGATGTCTGTGGCTGCTTCAGCTCATCTGGACTCATCTCTTTCTTGCCTTGCATTTCTCCAGATTCCTTCCTTGCCCATGCCACCCATTTTTACTGTTTGTCATGTGCTGTTAGTCCATTCTCGAAATTCTCTTTCGGAATCTAAGATTCTTCCTTTTGCTTCTGACTGCCTTCGTCCTTTTTTTTCCTTCTTGTATTCTTAACATTGTGTAGGGGTCATCTGCAAGCATGTGTCATCCAACTTCTTTCCTCCTGTTACTACCTTTTTGCGTCCTGACACTGCAAGTACAAACTACCCGTCATCACAGACATGTGACACCAAAAGGCAGCCCTGACTTTTCTCTGAGGTATGTTAGCCTATGTCACCAATTATTTCCATTTCTTTTTCATACATGCAGAAGACTCAGATTTCCCCAGTCCTTTGGCCTGAGGCATAGCTAATGAAATGGGATTGGAATGTAATGTATGTCACATCCAAGCAAGAGCTCAAAGTGCCTGTGCACATGTGTCATGCTCTCTTCCTTTGGCCGCATTGATTTTGATTTTCTGTTGTCCCATTGCAACTCATCCTTAGTCTTAATGACTTAAAACAGTCACCTTCTTATTATCTCTAATGACTTCAGGGTTGACCAAGCCCATTGGCAGGTGTCTAATCTTGCTTTAGGGCGTTTCCTCTGTTTCCAGCCAGATGTTGTTGGGGGCTGGGTAATTCGGAGGTTCAACTGACAGGTTAGAGGAACTGAGCCTTAGTTTTTCCCTGTGTTATTGCAAAGTTTCTCCAGAAAAACAGCCTGCCTTCTCACTTGGCAGAACAAGATTCTCCATAGCACACTGTCAGGATTTTTTTTTTTTTTTTTTGCAAGTGTTGGTTGTGGAAATGAAGGCTTTTTACTGGTGTAAGCAGTCATAGGGTCAGATGACTTTTAAAAGGAAGAGGAAAAATGCCCTCATGAGGATGAGAGAAAGAGTAAAAGAGAATCTGTGAACATCTTTAGTCTCCATTCCAACAGTGTTTGTAGTGGTGGCTCCCTGCATTGGCCAGGGCCCTGTCTCAGAGTCACAGTCAAGAAAACATCCCAGCAAACATACTTTGACTTGTGAATCAAAAACACATCTCTTCTGTTTTAAGGCACTGAGATCTTGGTGTGGTTTGATACAAGATTTTCTGTTCTAATAAAAAACCTGGTATGGGTGATAGGGCACTGTCGCAGCAAACATCTAAAGTATTAGGCCTGAGGCTGCTGGCATTGTGGCACAAGGGGTTAAGTCACCTTTTACAACAGCATTGGTGCTAAATTGTGATACAGCTTCTCGACTTCGGACTCTGCTCCCTGCTAATGCCCCTGGGAAAGCAGGTGAGAAAGGCCCAAGTGCTTAGGCCTCTGCCACCCACGTGGGAGATGTGGAGGAAATTCCCAATTTCAGCCCAGCTGAGTCCTGGTTGTTGGGACCATTTGGGGGGTGAACCAAAGGATGGAAGTAATTTTAGCTCTCAAAAAATATGTGAGAAATTGACATCTATCTATGTGTTCAAACATTAATGGCTGGAGGCATCATCAAGTCGTGAATCTTCCCGTGAACCAAGCCCGGAAAATTGTGCCATGCCATTCAGTAAATATTTCTTAAATAAGAGGTGCTATTGTAGTTCTCAATTTAAAGAGAAAACACTCTCCTCTCTCCATCAGCTTTTTAAAAAATTTTTTATTTTACAGGTTGAGGAAGAGAGAAAGAGAGAGAAAACACATCTATAATTTCAGTCTCCAAGTGACTACAACGGAGCCCAGAGCAAGGAATAACATGGATGTGTCCTAGGTGGGTGACAGGAGCCATGTTCCTGTAACTGACGACATTGCCTCCTGGGGTGTGTGACAGCTGGAGGCTGGGGTCCGGAGCAGAGTAGGATGTTGAATGAACCCAGGCACCTGAATAGTGGCTGCCTTAACTGCTTCCCTGAATGTGTGTTCTGGGCAGTCTTAGTCATGTGGAGAGGATGCCACTAACACTAACATGATGTTTGTTCCTTTGTTCCATTGCTGCTAGTATGTTTCCTCATTGAGTTCTGTGATACTTCTGGCACAGATATGGCCCATCCCCTCCTGTTTCTCCTGGGTGCCAAGCTTCCCTTGGAAAGTGGACTGTCTGCCCTGCACCTCACAAATGTGTTACAGAACCTTGCCCTTGCTAGGGTTCCTTGGGGGCAGGCTTAACAGGATAGGCTCCTTA